TAACCACAAAGTATTAGAAAAACAATGTGTCCGCTCATCTATGTTTAAGGCAACATTTAGATTTTCCATCATCTATAATAATAAAAGTGTAAAATGATAATTAGACCGGATGATCTTCCGGATGAAGCTGGGGCCGCCCCGGTCCCAGATGCCTGTTGGCGGCCAGAAGGAAGCCCGGGTCCCGGGTGCCAGAGGGAAGCCGGTGCCAGCAGCCGGGGGGAAGGAAGGCCTACTCTTGCTCGAATTTCGTGCACTGGGCCTCTAGTTTCATCGTAATTAAGCCTTTACTACCTTCATGATCATCCCCATTTTATCTTCAACTTATGAAATCTACTGGGAATGACTCTTTCCGGATGCTGTTGTCTAGTTCATAAAGGTGTCGACAGTTTAACGGGTAAAAAAAATGTCTTACCAGCTGCAAACCTCTTTGTTTTTCTGCCAACCTTTGTTGCGCAATTCTTAGAACGTTCTGGGCTTCGGTGACTTGGATCTCTTTTGGGCCCACCACCTTAAAAGGAACATCACAACATGTGAGTGTTTCTTTTTTCTTTTTTTCATGTGAGTGTTAAGAAAGTCAAGTTCACTTTTAAAAATGCCACTTTTGTTTAAAAATATATTGTTATTGATTTCAGAGAGGAAGGGAGATGGAGAGACATACATCAATGATGAGAGAGAATCACTGATCGGCTGCCTCCTGCACGCCCCCCTACTGGGGACCAAGCCTGCAACCCGGGCAGGTGCCCTTGACCAGAATCGAGCCCAGGCTCCTTCAGTCCGCTGGCCAATACTCTATCCGCTGAGCCAAACCAGCCAGGGCTGAAATGCCACCTTTGTTTAAAAGACATTTATAAGTGTCAACCCTTAGAATGAACTTGCCGGGAATTACGTATCCAGAAGGAATATAAAATAGCTTAATATGGCGAAATATAGTAAAACAAACACATGAAACAGCAGCATCGCTGCCATAAAGATCGGAATTGGACAGGGGGGCTTGATAGCTGTGCGCGTTGGCTCGTGTTTGATTACAGGGTGTGTCCTTGCGTATTTCTTTCCCGAGAAGTTCACTTGCGTCCTGTTAAATGAGCAGTATTCCTGGATACTTCGTCCGTGCGAAGTGTCACTTCCCAGCTGCTTTAGACATGTAGGAGGGAAAGGCGTACCTTCCGAACGTTGTGGTAGTTGTTCAGAGCTATGATCCACTCGCACATGGAGCAGCAGGCGACAGACACGTGGGCGATCTTTTTGGGGTGGAAGTCGGGTAAGGTTAAAAACTTCTTCAGCTTTATGAACACCTGCAGAGAGCGGAAGCGGGGTGTCACGTGAGAAAGATCTATTCTGGATCTGAAGTCCTCCCTCATCCGCCTTAGGGTGAGATCTTATCTCCCGTCAGAAATACCCGGCTGCTCCCGGGCAGAAGGAAAACAACATACCTAGCTGGCCCTGCCTGGTAGCTCAGTGGTTAGAGCACCAGCCTTGGGACCGGAGGGTCTCGGGTTGGATTCCTGGTCAGAGGCCCAGACCTGGTTGCAGGTTTGGTCCCTGGCCCTGAGCAGGAGACAACCAATCAATGTCTCTCTCTCTCACATCCATGTTCCTTCCTCTCTCTTTCTCTCTCCCCTTCCCCTCCCTCCCACCCTCTCTAAAAATCAATGGAATCCGCTGCGTGGAAACGGCACAGCCCACGGTGGAGACAGCCCCGCAGTATTTCTCCTCTACTTCTGGGGGCCGTGGTCAGGAGGAAATCTCAGATTCCTCCTCCCCCCGCCACCCCAAAGCCAGACAGAACCACTCAGCTGAGGGATGAAGGCAGCCTGCCCTCGGTTTATTATTGGGGCTCCTATCTATCACAATAAAAGCGTAATATGCTAATTAGACCGGATGTCCTTCCAGACAACCTTCTGGACGTCCTTCTGGGGACTTTAGAGAGGAATCCGCTTCTTGCCTCTTTCGGCTTCTGGTGGCCACACGCGACCTGGATCGTGGCCACACCAGTGGCATCTGGCTCTCCTGTGCGTCCATCTACATACAGTGCCAGGCAGGGTCCAGGGCCTTGTAACTCGCTGCTTACCCTGTCCCCCCTTTCCTCTTCCTGGGGGT